CCATTATTTTCTAATGGCACCCCATTCGCGCCGGGTGGATTGCACGTGATTCCGCATGTGCAATTGAACGTGATCATGGCTAAAAAATCAATCGCCGTGTGCACTCGAACATGAGTGGTTCCATGACGTGCATCCTGGGATCGCTCAGATCTGAACCTAGCCTAAAAGAGTTACTTTAAGCAGCCTACAAGCATCAGGTATTGGTTGGCCATGATAGCATTGTTACAGTAGCTACAGACATTCCTGCATGATCTGGCTGCCACCAGGGTAGGCCAGGCATGTCTGCCATGGTCAGTTGGAGCCTATAGGCATACAAATGTTCTGTGAATAATCTGATCATGTGCATGCTTTGTGATATCTGCAGGCACCTTTATTGACGGGAGTTGAGCATATGATCAATGAGAGCTAGAATGCCTTGTGGCAATAAAGTTATTGTTCAACAAGACTGCCAACATATCCCTTTAATCAAATAGCATACACTTATGCAGTACATTAGATTAACTCAGTGCTTTCAATTCATTTAATCGGCCACATGACCTGAGTAATTAATGTGTGTTGCTAATTAAAGGTCTTTGTTCATCACAAGACTTATAAATACACATGTGTAGTACTTCTAGAACTACTGAGGAACTGCAGTTAAAGAAGAACTCCAGGCAGAATAAAAAATTAAGTTTTTGAAGAGTCTGCAAGAGGTAACTGCTTGTTTTTGTCATTAGATTGCTAGAGCAGAGGACGAGGGAGGCTGCGGGGAACGGGCTACCAGATCAGGTAGTTTCCCTTCTCTTTGCTGCTCTTCCTTTTAAATCCTTATCTCTTCTCATGCTGGGGGAGAACTTACCTTTGCAGCTGAGTGCCTCTTCCTGTAGTGCTGGCTCAGGTTGCAAACCTACACACAGACACCATATATCCATTACTGAGACAAGGCCGTCTGCTGCAAAACAGAAGTTCTGCCCAGCATGAGAACAAATACAGATTTAAAAGGAAGAGCAGCAAAGAGAAGGGAAACAACCATGGATTACAGTAAGGCACACATTACAGTATTGTTTTATGTTAAAAAATCTGAGGGTTTAATGTCACTTTAAGGTGTGGGGGTAGGGAATGTACTGGTCATTTTAAAATGCAATATTATGTTGTAAAATCTGTTACTAGTTAACCTCACTTTTGTATGGTTTCATCATATGCTCAGTTTGAATTGCAGAGACTTATGACAGCTTTACCTTAGGGCTAGTTCACACTATAGAGGTGACGGGCATTTTTCAAGAACTGGGCACAGGGCAAAGCAAGGGGTTCAGCTAACTGCTGACTTCTGTGGCAGCGCATGTTCACTGTTCTCCCAGTCCCCTGCTGTTCTGTTTGGCCACAGGGAGAATTATGGGAGCTGCTGTAGCCAGGGCAGCCATCAGGGGGGTACGGCCGATACTCATGTAAGGGGCCTGGGCAGCCTGGGGGGCCCGCCCTGGTCCCTTACATGACTATCGGCCGACGTTGAAGGACGAGGAGGCGGAGGCCTAGCCCTAGCAGCGCAGGGCCCCAGCATTGCCGCTCCAGCAGCTTCGAGACATGGCCACGTGAGCAGGTAAGAGGAGCTAGGGAGGAGGGAGTGGAGGGATGCAGCCCTGACCAGCCCACCTGAGACCCCTTCAGAGCCCACAATAGACAGTCTCAGATGGGCTGTGCAGCATCTATGGTGGGCTCTGCAGGGTCACTCTCAGGTGGGTCCCGTGTCCAACGGCGGGGGGGGCCCGGCCTAAAGCCGGGTAAGGGGCCCCAAAATTTCTGATGGCTGCCCTGGCTGTAGCTGACCTTCTCCTCACAATGCTAGTTGCTTGAGTCTGGTTTAACTTTGTAAATCTAGTGGCCAACCTGTGGAGCTGCGGCCACATACAACCCTTTAGCATTTACTGTTTAGCCCATGCTGACAGTAGGCTGTCTTTTCCTTACCTAGGTGCCTTTTTACGCAATAAAAAAAAAAAATTCTTTATAGTGGCTCCTAGTGTCATAGTCAGGAGTCTGTATCCGCTGAAGGAAGAACAATCCAAGTGAGCCAGAGCATACATGAAGTGGTATGGTAACACAGGAGTCACACAGAGGTGCGCAGGAGGCAAAGGGGCGCAGTGGAGGCAGGACAGTTCAGGTGAAAGCATGTGAGAACCTGCATGGTAACGAAAGACACATGGAGGCACACGCTGGAGACACATAGGGTGCAGAGGAGGCACGGTGCGCAGTGGAGGTCCAGTCCAGGTAAAAGCGGGTGAGAACCTGCATGGTAACAAAAGAGTCACGGAGGCACGCGCTGAAGGCACAGGGGCATACTGGGGCCCAGGTGTATGGAACAGGGGGCATAACTAGAGATCATAGGGCCCCATAGCAAAATTTTGATGGGGCCCCCTCGGCGACCCCTTAAAATCTAAATCAACGACAGGTAGCAGGAGAGATGTCCGCATACTCTCCTCCTATACATCTGATGTCAGCTCTTTTTGATTGGAAATGTCATAGGGGGTACAGGGTTAACTTCTGCAATCATTCAAGGGGCCCCCTTCTACCCCTAGGCCCCAAAGCAGCTGAATGGGCTGCTATGGCTATTGTTACGCCCCTGGCCCCCTAAAGCAGGAAAAATGATCACCACTGGTCTAATTCTCTAACAGTCAGAATTCTTTATCTCTATACTGAATTCAGGTCAGTGTCTGAAGTCATGAAGCTAAACGGCGATGAATTACCTTCCAATTTAATTGGATCATGCTTAGCCCTCATTCACACGACTAACAGCCAGCCCGTACAGATCCGTGCTGCGTGCACGGCCGTATCGGGCTGCTCCCAGGAAGGACAGGTGCTGTGTGTGATTTGTACGCAGCAGCCTATTCTTCTCTATGGGAGTATGCGGCCGTACGCTTACCCGATCTGCACGTTTGTTGCGGGTGTCCGTACTCGTACACAGACAGGATGGATCTAAAACTGTGTAAACTAGGCAATGCGATATGTCTGCGTGGACACCCACACGGATGTGTAGTTCGGGTAAGCGTACGGCAGCGTGTACGCTGGGTGACATAACACATCTATTGGGGGGGGGGGCACAATTTTCTGCTCTTGCCTCAGGTGCAAAAGGAGCTAGCTACGGCTCTGCACTCTCAGTGTTCTAATGAGGGGAAGCCTAACATTTGACTGATTTGTTAGTGCAGACATCTGAGATAATGAGTGAGCCATTTACACAAGCAGGGAATGACCTCTGTGGGCTTCCCATACAGAAACGGTGTACAGAATGCCTCCAGGTTACCATATCGCATTGACTAGTTTACACAGTTTTAGAAAACTACAGCCGCTTCAGATTAAAATGGAAGGGCCGATTTTAATAACAGAAATGACAAAATGTCTTCTGTAGCAGATTTAAATGCATTATTATTATTTTTTTAAACAAAAGTGGAGTTTTTCTTTGAGGGGCAGAATATGCAGACATACAGTATGTGTTCTGACATAGGATTGTGAAGCATTTCTGCACAATTTGGAACCCAGTATTGGATTTCATGATTTATCTATTACAAGTATTTATAGCATTAAGCATAGAACATGTGAAGATACTACAGTACAGTATGATTAAGGGTCGGTGTTGAAGTCTACAGTGTAGAGATGACTCCAGCTGTATAAGAGGAGTCTTTGGGATCTTGGCATTATTACTCAAAGCTCAGGGAAAGGTTGCCAGGGGCCCCCCATCAATTCTTTTGCTATGGGGCCCCCGTGATCTGTAGTTACAGCCCTGCATACGTGCTATCTTTATTTCCAGCAACACAAAAGCTGCTGATTACCTTTTGGAAAGTAGTTTGGACTTGCTAAGCTGAAATGGATTTAGGCCCCTTTCATATGGGCAGCTCAGTTAGATCTGCCTGTCAGTTTGTCATGCAGATCTGATTTAACTTTGTCGAGCCGGGTGGTGCGGACAGGATCATCTATAGCTTGAATTTCGTCCCATTCAGCAGAATCAAATGCGTCTATGGTCAGCTTTACTGTACATAAGAAGAGGACAGCAATGACAGCCAGGCCAAGAGCTCATCTAGAAGAGGACAGCAATGACAGCCAGGCCAAGAGCTCATCTAGAAGAGGACAGCAATGACAGCTAGGGAACGAGCACATCTAGAAGAAGAGGACAGCAATGGCAGCGAGCACATTTAGAAGAAGAGGACAGCAATGGCAGCCAGGCAATGAGCACATTTAGAAGAAGAGGACAGCAATGTCAGCCAGGCAAAGAACACATCTAGAAGAAGAGGACAGCAATGTCAGCCAGGCAAAGAGCACAATTAGAAGAGGACAGCAATAACAGCCAGGCAAAGATTACATCTAGGAAAGGACAGCAATGACAGCCAGACAAAGAGCACATCTAGAAGAAGAGGACAGCAATGTCAGCCAGGCAAAGAGCACAATTAGAAGAGGACAGCAATGACAGCAAGACAAAGATTACATCTAGAAGAGGACAGCAATGACAGCCAAGCAAAGAGCACATCTAGAAGAGGACAGCAGTGACAGCTAGCGAAAGAGCACATCTAGAAGAAGAGGACAGCAATGACAGCCAAGCAAAGAGCACATCTAGAAGAGGACAGCAGTGACAACTAGGGAAAGAGCACATCTAGAAGAAGAGGACAGCAATGACAGCTAGACAAAGAACACATTTAGAAGAAGAGGACAGCAATGACAGCCAGACAAAGAGCACATCTAGAAGAAGAGGAAAGCAATGACAGCCAGACAAAGAGCACATGTAGAAGAAGAGGACAGCAATGACAGCCAGCATATTCTTCTTTCAGCATATGACTCCCTTCAGCCCTGTGTGACACTGACACATCCTCCAGTGACTGTACACTCCGGCCTCACACATGACATGAAGCCCAGTGTACGATCAGACAATAGGCGACTCTCCTCCAGGAGTCTGCATCCCCGCCCCACCTGTCTGGACGGATCCTGCACTTCCTCTGCGAGCCGCCCGGGGGCAGCAGTGAGCCGACAAGTGTCCGCTAAGGAGCACAGGAAGGGGAAGGAAGAGGAGGGCTGCACGTCTTCCACTTCCCCACCCTCTTCCTGCCCTGTGCGATGCTCCTGTGTGCCCCTTTCACCATGGCTGCAGTGCTGAGACCCCAGTGTGTGCCCGCGGGGGGGATGTGCCCGCTCGGGTGTGTATGAGTGCCAGGCTGTGCCTCTTTCCCGCACTTTCATCACTGCAAGATACAGCCGACAACTCCGGACTAGTTTGTGTGTCTGCAGTGTAGCAGCCGGGAGGACTGTGACCCGGGCTCTGTAACCCGGGAGGACTGTGACCCGGGCGGACTGTGACACGGACTCCTGGCTACTCGTCGCCGCCGGCATGGCGTCCTATGTGGATAATAGTTTCAGACAGTCTGTGATGAAGCCCCCGGCTGACAGGAGTCCTCAGGTATGTACTCTGAAGTGTCTGTGTGATTGTCTGCTGGACGAGCCCGGCTTAGGCTGACAGCTGGGGTCCAAGTCAGTGCTGCTTAGTATTATCCTGTGTCAGCACAAAGTTGTGTCTTTCTGTGCCCTGGACTCCCCAGGGGGTAGTTAGTGCTCTGGGGCCCCTCAGGTGATTGTGCTCTGGGGCCCCCCTAGATGATTGTGCACTGGCTCCAGGGCCCCCTTAGGTGATTGTGCACTGGCTCCGGGGCCCCCCTGGGTGATTTTGCTCCCACTCCGGTGTTCAGTGAACCCAAGACATTGTGGGCCCCCAGTTTGGATCACACAGCTCTCAGAATAGAGAGGTGTCACTGTCTGGCCCCATAAGCCTAAGTCTTGTTGTATCTGACTTTATTTGAGTTGGTAAAACGTCTCCTAAAAAGAACACTTCTGGTTGGGCTGCCTTTGTCAGATTGTCAGAAATGACATCTGCTTGTGTTTCTTGTAACATCCTGCCAGATTCTCCTTTCATTGTCTGATGTTTACTGGGAGAACTGTCAGGGTCGCTCATAGCAACCGGGCTTCCTGCCTGTTCTCATAGCAACCAAGCTTCCTTTTCCCATAGCAACTAGACTTCCTGTTCTCTTAGCAACCAGACTTCCCTTTCCCAAAGATGTCTCCATACTAGGAGATTCAGTTAAATTGCAGCCCATGTTCGTTGATGGGGCACTTGACATGTCATCACCAGTTACATGGACTTCAGTAATAGCCACACACCAAGGGTTTTTACCATGGCGGCTAAACCACGGGTCTTTGACCCATGCGAAACCTAGACAGCGAGAGGGATTATTTCATTGTTATGGGAAAGTTCTTTCAGATCCTTTGTTAGGTAAAGCTGACAAGAAGTCTTCATGTACGACTGATGTATGCAGAGTATAGCATACTGAACATGACAAACTTACTGTGGTGGTGTGACCAGTGTCAGTAATTGTCCCTCAACACACACTTGGCACCTAATTACTTAGTGTTGATGATGGGCATCTGCCGCTTTTTTGTTGCCTGGCACATTTGCAGAGGATTACCTTCACATCAGATCAGCAAGTCACATGCAGTTGTTTCCTTTGTAACTAAATCACACATCAGATGTACAGGACACAAGTCTGTCATAGTAGAAGAGTGCGGATCGTGTGCTGGATGAGGGTTGCAGTAGTATGGGGTCTATTAGTATTGCTTCAAGCTGTGTGTTGTTTACCAGGGAGATTAGAGTCATATATGGGCCATCTTATCTGGAGTAATAAAGATTGTTTACACTACTTCCACTCTACAGAGAACTGTCACTTTTCTTTCACAGGGATGCTGAACATGTTCTGAGAGCTCTGGTGTCCCCGCTGCCATCATTTCATATGAATTCACAATTGGCACAGATTTTCTATAGACACAACATTGTCGGGTTGATTTTTGTAAAGCGGTCCATTTATTACGTGGTGGGGAATCATTCACTGTACAATAAAGTGACACTAAACTCAAGAGTTAAATCTTAAGAAATTCAAGTACCCTAACTAGTTACACCAATGTATCCATTTTTGTGTATCACTCGGCTGTATATCCTCAAATCATCTCTGAATTGGCGCTGACACTGTCCTTCCATCTGGAGGGGGGCTACTTTTGTTCCCCATGGTCTCTGCGTGTGTTGTAAAGCTGCCACCACTCCAAGCTTGCTCCTGTGATGGACTACAATCTCATGTTTAGTTTACTTATTTGTATTGAGATTGTAGTCCATCATGGGAAAGAACTTGGAGTGGTGGCTGGTGGTGGCATGGGGAACAAAAGTAGCCCCCCTCCAGAAGGAAGGACAGTGTCGGCACCAATTCAGAGATGATTTGAGGCTCTCCAGCCGAGTGATACACAAAGAAGCTAGATTTTTGCTAATAGTTAAGGCACTCAAATGCATTTTTAAGATTTAACTCATGAGTTTAGTGTCACATTAAAAATGAGAGTTGGGACCAGGAGAAGAGTTCAAGTTATACACAAATAAGATACATTTTTGTTACTACCGTAGTTAGGGTACTTGAATTTTTAAGATGTAACTCCCTGAGTTTACTGTCACTTTGAAACACATTCAGCAAGAAGATTCACTTGTAGTGAATGTCACAGTCCCTGCATGTTAATGTGCCCCTGGGTGTTTTCCTAAAGCTAACTCCACCTTAAAGGAGAACTATGAGGTAAGGGCTTTTCCCCATAGTTCTAAGGGTATCGGGAGAACACAAACTAGCGTCCTACCGTCACCCTAAGCTCAGTATGCTCACAGTATACTGAGATGCCGCAGCCGGGACGGATCCCAACAATTCTGTCTGGATCCACCCAGCTGCGTGAGTGACAGCTGGCTCTGCTTATCTAGAGGCAGAGCCAGCTATACCCGCCCCCTCCCGTCTGTTCAGTCAGTAAGCGCTGGAGGATCGGACAGGGGAGGGGGGGGGGGGCTCCCTGCGGGGGGCGGGG